ATCTAGTTCCAGGTGTCCCTCTGTGTAACGTGACCTTTTAGGTTTCAGTCCTGAAGTACAGCTAACACCTATCAACAGCCTTGTAGCCTCTGCTCCCTGCCCTCAACCCCGCACACTGTTTTAGTTTCCAGTGTCAGGGTCGGAATTAATTTCTTTCAAGGTCTCATTTTTGTTATTTTAATATTCTTGTGTTTATTTGTTTATACATGCACAAGCACATACACACATATACCGAGACTAAATGCTGGAGTCATAAACCAAATGTGATGACCTACGCACTGTTTATTTCTGTTTGGGGACTTGTTCTTTTCATTTTCTTACTGCATTTTGTCCATGTGGGTTTTTGTTTTTCTTTTTTCTTTTAATATTTTTTATTGATTTATAATCATTTTACAATGTTGTGTCAAATTCCAGTGTAGAGCACAATTTTTCAGTTACACATGAACATATATATATATTCATTGTCACATTTTTTCTCTGTGAGCTACCACAAGATCTTGTATGTATTTCCCTGTGCTATACAGTGTAATCTTGTTTATCTATTCTACAATTTTGAAATCCCAGTCTATCTCTTCCCACCCCCCACCCCCTTGGCAACCACAAGTTTGTATTCTATGTCTGTGAGTCTATTTCTGTTTTGTATTTTCCATGTGGGTTTTTTTAATATAATTAGAAAGATATTTTTAAAAGAGAAATGTTTTGTTAATTCCTTAGAAACAGAGTTATTGATTATCTATTGTCTGACATGATATACTAGATATGGTAGCATTGGGTTCAAAAGAAAAAGAGATAGTATCTTGAATGTTTAAAGTTTGAGGATGTGAAATATAACAAATAAAAAATTAAAAACAATATTATTAAGTAAAATCATACAAATTAAATATTAAGTATTAAAAGGAGACAGAGTAGAGAGGTGATGTTAGGTTGGAAGCTAAGAGGTTGGGTCAAGTATGATAAAAAGAAAATCTCTTCAAGTTATTCAGGGTTGGGTTTTCATACAGAAACATTTTCCTCACAGCTTCATTTATTTCACAAAGATTAATTGACTGTCTACAGCTTTCTCGGCATGTGCTGTATTTTGGAGGTACAGTTGTTAATAAGGTATATGTATATATAAGGTTATTCTTAGCACTTGAGTTTGAATAGTACTTTTATTTGTTTTCATCTAAAAAAGGTAACTTATATGTAAGAAATAATAGTCAGGAAGGTATAGCCAGTTTGGGGGGTAAGCCTGTGAATTTAAGGTGTAGTACTCAAGGCTTCTGCAGATAATGTGTGGTCTCACATGCCTTTTAAATGGTGGTGGTGGATCCTGACCTGTTGAACTATAGGGCTGTTGTGAAAGGCAATGAAGTGTTATTCAGGTTCTCTTTATCACTGTTATTATTTCCAGTGATTGCTAGGGATATGTGAAGTGAAAAGTATGACCTTTAACCCTCTGTTTATGGCAAAGCCTAGGAGACAGTGGCACTTTTCTTTTCTTTCTTTTTTTTTTTTTAATGCTTTGTTACTTAATCTTCATCATCTCTGGATTTAGGGGGAGATCGGACAGGTCAGGACATGGAATGACTGCTAAGAAATCAATAGGGGATCGTCTTAGACAGGCAAGGTCAGCTCTCCCGAGTCCTGTTCTTCTTTAAACACAATGCATTTCCTGATTTCAGCAACTGCCTTTTTTTTGAGTTGAGGTTTGCTATCATGAAAATAACACTTTAGTTGTAAATACTGAGAGCAGCCAGTCTCTTAATTAGAACAACAACCCATGGGATTTGGTCTCTCAATACAACAAAAGCTCACAAGACTTTTAGAACTTTAGTTTATATAATTTTGCTCCAGCTCTCACTGTGTTGTATGAACTGAGAAGCTAATCTCTGTAGCATCAAGTCGTCTATTGAAAAAATCTATAACGGAGTATATTTTAGGTATTTGATTGTTTAAAAAGATAATATAGAAAAATCTCATAGTTTTAGACACTGTCCTCTCAAGAACTTCTAACCAAACAGGAATCTTAAATTTACATTGTTTTCTGGGTTTTTATTGTTAGAATATTTCCTGCAGCAATAATGCCCATACGATACTATATTCAGCATTGTCGAATTATTCGTGTTGAAAACTGCATCAAGTGCTTCTTGGCTTCTTTGGAACCTGCAGTTCGATACTGGGAAGTGGTACTTGCTGGCTGGTCAACAATGAGTAATGCAGTTCAGTAGCCACGCTGTTCCGTGTGTCAGGCCCCGTCAGGCTGCTGGATCCAAAGATTTGCCCAGAGTTTCTCTGTGGACATACACATAGTGGCCGACTGTGGATTCCTTTCCCTTTCAAATTCAGTTATTTGCTGGAAATGGAGCTTTTGGATTTTGTAAGTTCTTTGTTCCCCTCATTTGAAAAATATTTAAATGATGTTGCCCAGAGGGCACCCAGAGAAACAGCGTGACTGACTTTCGAGAAATTAGTAAGCAGTAGAGTTATTTTTAGCTTTTACTCCTTGCAAACATTTCCTTTTGTTCTTCAGAAGACATTGTTGATCTGTTCATTCATTTGCTGTGCTCTCTCTCCCCCGCTACAGGGTGGCTTTGGCTAGAATGAGCCCTCTCTTCTCTACTCTGCATGACAGAACTGTGTTAATTCTCAGTTAATTTTAACTCATGGGTTATTTGTTCATGTTTTTTTCCTAGGTTCTGAAACACCACCACCACCACCACCACCACCACCACCACCAAATACACACACATTTTGCTGTTATTTGGGGTTGATTTCCCCCCTCAACAGCAAATACTAACCAAAAAATGTTCACACAGGCAGGGTATCAAAATTTATATTTTTGTCAAAATAGCTGATGGTGTGATTCTGCCTTTATCTGCTCTGTTAGTACTTATTTTAAAACTGTAATCTTTAGAAAATTATGCCATTAGTATTACAGAATCCCAAATCCAGGATAGACGGCTACCAAGGCTGGCCTTTACACCTCAATCTCATGTCTGATCTTTGAAAATGCTTCAAGTATATAAAGGGAATCAGATTTCTAAGGAAGCACACCGAAGCCTGGTTTTTACTCTTCACATAAAGGCAAGTCTGATAATGGCTTTAGATCCCTTACAAGAAGATCTCATCATTTTGTAACATTGTAATTTAACCTTCTTTTCCCCATTTTTCTGTAAAATAGAGAAGCATTATATAGCATTTGTGGTTAAAATTGGGGTTCTGGAGTCAGATTACCTGGTTTCAAGCCCTAGGTCTACCACTAATCTCCATATGCCTCAATTTCCTTATCTCATAAATGGAGATTACAGTGCTTCATACAATTGTTTTGGGATTTAGATCAGATCATCCATGTCAAGAGCCTAGCAAAATGCCTGACATAGTAAACAGTCTCAGTAGATGTTGGCTGTTATAATTACTGTGTAAAATTATTTTATCTGTAATGTACAATGTAGTTATTTTTAGAAGATAATATACAAGAAAGAGTCACAATATTCAGTTTTCTGGAACCCTTGAGGCTTTCTCTATAAGAGTTTTTTGGGAGGTTCCATAATTCCAGTACATAGTGAATTTAGTTTCCCTTGGTCCTTCAGTATTTGCAGCTCTTCACATCGAGAACTGGTACAATCATAATGGGAAGTCAAGCAAAACATTTTTCTGCATAAAGAGAGAAAGGCAGTGTGTGAGATGGCATTGACATCTGTGCCTCTGCCTTGGGCCAAAAGCAGAGTGGTTATTTGCTGCTGATTCAACATCCCATCTGCTACCTTCTCCAGTGGTTCAGCCCCTCTTCCTTTCCCTTCCTTCCCTTTAGAGCCCCGGGGATGATGAAGTCAGGGAGACAAGGATGTGAAGCATCTAAAGAGAGAAACAGGACAGAGGGTCAGGAAAGATAACAGAATGATAACCCCTATTCTGCAGATGATCCAGTTGGATAAAAGTTGAATCTCCCCTGCCAGTGGCAGTTTTACATGAGTTCTCCGGATGGGGTGAAGGTTGAAAAACACCAGCCTGTTTAGTGAATTCTCATCTTTTTGCTCAAGAGCTTTTTTGACATTGACTCAGCAACTTACTAAAATTCCCTTTTAAAAAAAAACAAAAAACTTTTTTCACTCTTAGCCCACGTCCTCAGAATAAATCCTTTATTTTTACGAGGGGTGCTTTAACTCTTGAGTATATCCTTTGTTTCTGTTCTCTTATAGCTGCATTTAACTCACCTTATTTGCCAACTAATATACAGCACTAACTCCCACTGAAGTGGCTTTTTGTTTTAAGGTAACATCTTCTACCCAATCCGAGAGGTACAGCTCAGGCTTTCTATAGCACGGTTGTCTTAGAAACACTTATTTAAAGTTTAAAACACAAAGCATCACACACATGAAAAGGGTATCTGTCTGTAATGTAACTCTTTAATTGATTTGGATGAAAACTTGAGTAATTAAGTAATAGAGTGATGAATGCCCCAGAAAGGCATGTATTGAATAAACAGAAGTATGCAAATAGAAAGGGGAGGTAGGAAGAGATTGTCTCAGATTATGGGTTTCTTCATTTTTAATGGAAAAATTGGGGGGGGCAGTAGGTAATTAGGTTTATTTATTTACTTATTTATTTTAACGGCAGTACCTGGGATTGAACCCAGGACCTCATGCGTGACAGTCTACCACTGAACTATCCCCTCCTTCCCTGGGAAATTCTTTTAAAATATTTTCACTTTCAAAGCTTAAGGCTTCTTTTAACTTACACTGATGTTTTTTCATTTATGATTTCCTGATGATTATTTCAAGTTTGTGATTCAGAAGAATTAAATATTACTTTAATATAGAGTATTTGGAGGTTTTTTTCAGGCTGCTTGGTTACTCTGTCTTATTTTCATTTAAATTTGAGGTTATCCTAACCCTTCATTCAAAGAGGTAGTTGACCCTAATTCTGACTTAAGTTTTGGTGAGCCTTAATTATAATTCATCATATATGTAGTTTTCATTCAGTGCTTTTTACAAAAGACCTTTATGTTTACTTTCTAGACGGATTTTGCAAGATTTAGTGGAACAAATGTGGAAACTGACTTTGTAGAGGTGCCATCACAAATGCTTGAAAATTGGGTGTGGGACATCGATTCCCTCCGAAGACTGTCAAAACATTATAAAGATGGAAGCCCTATTACGGATGATCTTCTTGAAAAACTTGTTGCTTCTAGACTGGTCAACACAGGTATGACTTACAATTTTAGAAGAGGAAAATAAATGAGAACTTCTTCATGGAGAATCGATAGCCTCTGCTTCTGTAGAACTTATTTCCCCTTTTGTAACGGTAGTGCCCTTAGAGTGTTAACATGAGGAAGGAGGACCGCTAAATATATTTAAATACTGAACTCTGGAGTTATGTCTAAGGAAAAAAAAACATTTCCTTTTAAATTTTAAATAGAATGAGATGCCTCGCTCTGATTTTGGAATGAGTACTACAGGAATCAGTTGATGAAATCTGTGGTCCATGATGTTAGAACACATTTGTTCTCTCTTCAAAACATGCCCAAACATTCTTATGTTATTAGGTCTCCTGACCTTACGCCAGATTGTTTTGAGCAAAGTTGATCAGTCTCTCCATACCAACACATCGCTGGATGCTGCAAACGAATATGCCAAATATTGCACAGAAATCTTAGGTGTTGCAGCTACTCCAGGTATGTAAATCCTATCACTGTAAGTTCCTTTTTCCTGTGAAGTCTACACAGGGTAGACTACTAACACTGCCAGAGAAGGTACAGTTTATTGGGCTGATTTCTATAATCAGGCCATGACTTTCAAATAGGCATACCATGTCCTCGTGAGTTATCCTGTCCAAAAGGGCTTGAAGGAAAGGCGGCTCCAGCTTTGCAGCATTTTAGTGTAATCAGGCATGAGCAATTGGCCTCCACCCCAGAGCAGAGAAAGCCGTTCACGTTTGGCAGCCCCGGCCTGGCCCCGCCCTCCCTGTATGCACCATGACTTCCCTAGTATTTCAGTGAGACTCTGGCGGAAGGGGCAGCTTTAGAGAGGCACGGACTTATAACTTGCTTCTGATTCTGTTCCTGAGGTCACTTAAGGCAGTTTGACTAGCAGCTTCTAACCTAGTATTATTTATGAGATTCATGAGAGTGGGTGGGTGGATGCTCACCCATAATGCATTTACATTTATATTTACAGATTTTATGCAGACATGTAGTCGGAACGGAAAGGTGACTTTTTTTTCCACCAAAGAAATTGTTACTTCATTGAATCAGTCACATTTATGGAGATAATAAAGGTCAGAATAGTCAGTTGAGTCCATCCAGGCTCCTTTTGTGATTTGTTTCTAGTTGGCCGAACAGCAGCTTTGTGCCTCAGGCCACTTGATGAAATCCTTTTTTAAAATAGCCCTAGAGGTAGATTGACTTGGTAAAAACCTTTTTAGCTTTCCACGGAAAGAGTTTTTTTTCCAGTAATTATGAACCCAGAATAAGAGCCATTCTGATGTATTTTGGATATAAATAGGTGTGACAACAAGTAGGCTTAATATTAGAGTATTTGTAAGACACACGTGTGTCTAAGGGATAAGACGACTGAGCTGTGTGATGGGTGTGGACAAAGCCTTTGAAACTACTGTCAGGCATTCCAGAGCTGAGGGCCGAAACCAGCTCCTAGGTGGAGCCGCCACAGGAGAGAAGTTTCTAAACTTGTCAGCCAACGGCACGCGTAAATCCCGGGAGTACTAGAGGTGATCCTGACACTCCTCCCACGGCTGGCCCCTCCATGGGGAAGCTGGCTAGCTGATAATCTGATATTTATTTGCCATCACTGTAATTAAAAAGTATCTTTCTTTAAAGGCACAAATATGCCGGCTACTTTTGGTCACTTGGCAGGCGGATATGATGGCCAATATTATGGATACCTTTGGAGTGAAGTATTTTCCACGGACATGTTTTACAGCTGCTTTAAGAAAGAAGGGATAATGAATCCAGAGGTATTGTTTTTTTTTTCCTCCTTTTAATTTTGTAGCTGCCCCCTCCCCTTTAATACCTAGTGTAAAATGTTAATGACAGCTCGATTTTAGAGGAAGAGGTTTGGTAACAACTTTTAGCTTTAAAGTCTTGCATCTTCTCACATCATCATACCTTATTAAGTGTAGTGTACAAATGATTAACTCTTAATTCTATAAGTTAAAAAAAAAACCTACTGCATTTTCTTGCTTATTAACATTCCAATACATTGCATAATGAAAATTCAAAGCTTTGTTTATGCATTTGAGCATTTATAGCTGCTAGTTTTGACATGTGCCGTAAGTGTTTTATAGGAGGTTGGGAAAGAAAGGTGAACTCCTTCCTGATATAAATGGTCTGCCTATGTTTTGATGTACTCTACACACTTTTATCATACATTTTCTGTGGAAGGCGCCCTTTTTTCTGTGACTGGCATATCCCACCTACTGCATTGTTTGTAACCTAAATGCCTTTAAGTAATTTAAGTGCTTCATTTCCGTGTACAGTGAATTGACTGCCAGGTGGCTGCCAGCCAACCCTTCCTGTGTTACAGTCCCTCAGCCTCCACTCTTGTTGAAGAGTCAGCAGTCAGATTATTTCTAGGGCTGATGGGTTTTCCAGTGTGTTTTTCATTCTGTTTGATTCAGAAATTAGAAGAACAAAATTATCAATATCAAAATCAGGCTTTCTGTGCCTATTGCAACCAACTGATTTGTTCTCCAAACTTTATGTTTCTGGACTTCCTAGTACCTTACACACATGCACTGGAAGACTTTGGTGTAATTTAGATCACCACCCCCTCCCCCAACCCTTCCCCCCAAGAAAGTGCCCTCCAGGGTACCTGCATGGTGTACACTAGCCTTTCCAATTACTGCATCGTCCATTCCACCTTACCCAGGCTGTTAGGTCGCTCTGGGTCTCCTTCCATTCCCTAGCCGATGCATTTACAATGATCAGCCACTGACTTGTTCTCATAAATACCCTGTTTTCAGCATGACCTTTAGCCGGTGCCCAGCCCCAGTCCTCTGCCATCTCATTGAGAGACAGTGCCCTTGGGATTCAGTGTTCCGGGGAAGATGGTGGGACTCCGTTTACCTGCCCCACTGCAGTCACCCTGTCGAACCTGCACTGGACCCTCAGTGTTCCTCTGCAGTCCTGCCCTCCTTCCCTTACTGGGTGTCCCCGGTTCCCCACCCCTCCCACCCCTCCCACCTCTCAGGTGATCTCTCCTCTTTACTAAGAACATTAAGATCATTGAAAGTCAGTACCTGCATCTTTTTCTCTTTCTATACTTCAGTCTTTATCTTCTTTCCTCCTGTCTCAGAGGAGATGGCTGTAATACTGAGACTTGCTGGTCTGCCATCTCAGGGAAACAACTTAGCACTGACTCTGATCTTCTCAGTGCTCCTACTTAGTTGTTCTTCCTTTCACAGCTGACTCTCTTGGTACAAGAAACAATTTTTGCACCCCTCTGTTTCCTGGCTTTTGCCTCCACTAGCTAAACTGGACAGTGACCCGCCCTCCAGAGTGACCTCTGACAATCTAGTTGCCAGGTCCCAAAGGCCCTCACCTACCTTTGTTCTACTTCCTGCTTCTTGGTATTTCTCTCTTTGTCCCAGCCCTGAGCTTAGCAAACACATCCCCTCCTTACTTCCCAGAACACCCAGCGTGTTAGCCAATTTTGTGTGTTCCCCTTGGGTCTTTCCTCCTTCACAAATTTATTCATTCTACTTCTTCCACCTAAAATGTACACCTTCCTTGTCTGTGCTGCTCCAAAATCCTACCATGTGTAAAGGCCCTTATTCAGATGGCCACTCATTTATGAAGTCTTCCAGATCTTCGAAACCAAAAGTGATCTGTCCATCCTCTAAACATAAGAGGGAACTTGGTTTTAGGCATGGGGAAAGGGTTTCAATAAGCTGCTTCTTAACATCTGGAATGTTCAACAAAACTATTCTACAAAATGAAAAAAAAAATCAAGTTATAAAATATTTTACATCATAGGATGCAAACTTTTATTTTCAAAAATACATTTAGAGAAAAAGCACATCAAAGTGTTACCAAAAGTTATCTTTGGGTGGTAAGTTAATGAGTGATTATTAAATATTTTTCTGCACTTTTTATGGGGCTTTTCCTTATTTTTACATGGAGTATGTTATAGAAATCAGAAAACAGTTTTTAAAGAGATACAAGGTCCAAATATAGAAAGGTACCATCTGACCTCCCACTAGCTCTTATAGTTGGTGAGGCTTCCGGGCATCAACGCTAAGGCACCTCTTTCGATGAAGCTTCATCATTCACCTCCTCTGTGCTCCACTCACAGGACCACACCCTCAGGACCCTCTCCCCCGTCACCTCTCCTCTTCCAGCTGTCAAGGTCACAGCCAAAATACTGATCCCAGTGGACCCGAAGGAACTTGCCAGTCCAGCAGGAGTCACCCCTGCTATTATGCTGCTACGTACCTCCTCTTTTCTCGAGCTTTTCAGCTTGGCAGGCAGCCAGACTACTCTTGACTTAGACAGAAGGGCTGGGTTGAATGTGGAGAAAGCCGGATTCCCCACAACTCTGAGTTGTTCCCTTGTGATGTTTAAAACAGTTCTCATTTTTAGTAAAATTCTGGATTCAGCAGTGCTTTATATTACTGTTCATCTTATGCCATGAAACTGGCTTTAATCCCTTTTTTTTCCTTCCTGTTCAATATTCTGGATATCATGTCATTTCCTGTTTCCCTGCCATCACAGCCATAGTTAATCTGGCCCCATTGGCCAAGGAGAATTCCTTTGCACTGACCCTCACTCACACCCTTCACTGCACTGGCAGATACGGAAGTAGCTTTTAATATAGCCGTTTTATTCACTCCTTCAGTGTACTGCTTGTTTGGTTTTGTTTATTTATTTATTTTTTTACAGATATTTGCTCTAAAATAAACACCCGATTTACACAATTCAAATACTCTTTTAAAATTAATACTTTGGAATAACAATCCTGTTCTACAGAAACAGATCATTGTTACAACTGTGTTATGATGAAGAGAAAGAATTTTTATGGTATAAAGAAATGCTGAGTTTGATCAGAAGTTAAGGGACTCAGAGCAGGCACAGTACATCATGCAGACTTTGTTGTCTCAAGGCCCCTCAGCCTCCCTAGTACGTATTTGGAGATTTTGAGAAGATAGCAAGATGGCCCGTGACAGAGTCAGTGCCTGCTAGTCTTAGTCCCCAAGCTCTAGACAGGCTGGGGCTGAAAGGTCACATACTGTTGACATAATTGGTCATGGTCACTGGGATCAACAAAGGAACATCTCCAGGCCTTCCCTCTGTCACCTCCTGCCATCCTGCAAAGCCCAGGTCTGGGCGAGAACCATTTCAGATCTTAACAAGCAGAACTGTAGAAAGTGCGCTACTCACTGGGAAAACAGTAACAGGAAGGGTCAAGTGTAAACCTGCAGTCTTCTGACACCAGATGTTAGCAACAGAATATCTTACACACAGTCGTTTTCATTCTGTTTTGATGGCCTCTATCAAAGTGTTAGAACTGGCCACTTACCTTTAATAGTTTAAAAGTTTGCCAGCTCTGGTGTTATCTGTAGTTTTCTATATTCTTCATAGCAAACAGCTAACATCTTAGCTGTTTAGTTTGTTAAATATTATCTAAGTAAACGTGGAGAAGTCATTATCAGACATATCTTTCACTTTTCCAAATCATCTCTTTAATAACCATGGAAAGGAACTGCCTGGCAATAACATTTTCCCAGCAAACTGTAGGCACTCTTTCAGGATCCCTTCAAGGTTCCCAAACAGTTTCAAAATCCAGCAGCTAATCGTAGGGTTGAAAGAATGAGGGCATTTTAACTAGGATCATTTCTTTTTATAAAGCGACTTCATTGTGGGAAAATTTCCTTAGAGGTAATAGACATTGTGGATTCAAAGGCAATTATATTGTTAAGCTAGAATTATGTCCTCCTCTTCTGCGTTGAGAGTAATTGCTAAGCTTTGTTTTTTTTCCATCAGTGAAGAAGAAATACAACCAAGGATTCCAGGCAGAAAGGAGTACTGAGAAAGTCAAGATAGTTAAGTGTGACTATGCCCCGAGCCATGAGGAAGTAGACCTTACATGCGACACACATGAAGAGTCTTGGTTAAACATGAAAAAGAGTTAGCTGACAGAAGGTGTGTTATAAAGCACGGTATCCCAGAGCTCTTCAAACAGAATCCTAGGCCCAGTGCCTGCTGTAATGTGTTGTAAGAGAGAATGTGAGATTTCCCCTCCTGAGGGTCCTTACAGGTGGACTAAGTTCTGCGTCAGCTCCCCTGATCTGCCACCCCACAGCTGATTTGTCTTACACTTCAGCCTTTTCGAACAGACTTAAATTTTGCCTGATTTAAGGGACAAAGGAAGGAAATGGGATTGATTTCCAACCTGCTTCTTGAATATTTACAACACCAGACCTTCTTAGCCTTGAATCCCAACCAACTGGAAGCATTTTTCTTCTTTTGTGCTCCTACAGCCCTTCTTTTTGTCTTTCTTAGGGCCCTAATGATCTGCCTTGTTAATTGTCTATTCCTTTATCTCACCTTGTAGATCATAAGGCCCTTCTAATCGGAACTGTTTCATTTGTCCTTGTGTTCGTCCTCTGCTTCAAAACTGTTACATGTACCGATTACTGGACCCAAATGGTAGTTCCCCCATCTGCTTCCACTCATCTTTCATCCTAATACAAACTTCTACCTAAGGTACAATTTTTCTCCAGACCTCCTCCCACGCCTTAAATTTACTCTTCCGTCCTCACAAACTGAAACTTTGCTCAAGGTTTCCCGTAGACCTCTTCCAATCAAGGGAAGATTCCTCCCACTGTACTTTGTCTGTATCTCCCTGACTACCAGCACCAACCTGCACTCTCTCCCTCCTTCCTGTTTGTGGTCAAAGGTAGTCTTTTTCCACCCACGAACGCCCCACCCTCACTTGTAGAAAACAAAGTGTGTGCTGTGCTGGGTAGGAGTTTACTGATGAGCTATGGAAGGAAAGATTTCAAAGTCCACTTTTAAAGCGGGCTGGTGGGCCTGTTAGAAGCCCGATTGTCAGTACCTGCCCGTGGGTGGATGCCCTCTGCCCTGATGCCTGTTAACTCAGTGTAGAAAGGAGACGCCTGGCTCCACTGCCCAGGGTCAGTCACAGAGGAGGGAGGGAGCTTGCATGTGCTCCTCCAGAGATGGCAGGAGACGCAGTCTGTTTCCCATTTATATGTTCTTGGTACTGATGGATGGTGGACATCCTTCACTCAGGTAACCATGCTTGCTCTTAAAATATTACCTCAGATAAAGCATACATATTCTTGCAAGTGAGTGCCTTGTCTCTCTTACTTAATATTCCTACAAATTATGTATTCTTTTTTATGCTAATAGTGGAGATGAAGTCTCTGTGCTTTTTTTCTTGCTTTATTAGGAGACAGAACTAATTTTAAGGAAGTGCTGAATCAGGAGTGCATTTGTTTCCCTGGCTGTGTATAAGTAACTGCACTTTGAGGCAGTGTGAGAAGGAAGGAAAGGAAAGGAGGATGGATGACTACTCAGAGGTATTGAATACCCCTGTATGGCAGGAATTATTCTAGGGAGCAGACAAGGTACTGAAATCATCTCCTTTAATTCCCCATAAACTGAGGGAGGTAGGCAGACTCCCATTTTACAGGTATGGAAACCAAGGCCCAAGGTCACATAGCTGAGGATGGAGCTGAGATTCAAACCTGGGCCTCATTCCAGAACTCCTCATCCTGCTTTAGAAAACATCAGTGTTAGGGAGGACCTGCACAGCTGCCAGAAGATACATGTTAATCTTCTGGGATTAAAAACCACAGAGGTGACCGATGCTGATATTCCTCCATCAAATGGCTAACAGGAGCTTTTATTCTACGCAGGTCCTCCTGGAGGATTTTTAGCATGAGAAATTCTAGCGGTTGTCTTAGCGCTTCTCTTCCTGCTTTGCTCACAATTAAGGTTCCCTTATGATATAAACAGAGTAGAATGACTTACAGCAGAGACTCCTGCCACCTGCAAACACGGTCTCCCAGACCGTGTTCTGTCACCTAGAGAGCCCAGATCCTTCCTAAAGCAGAAAAATTCACTTCACTTTTTCTTTTTTAAGAAAACAAGATCCTATTACCAAAATGACTCTTAAACTCTTCTCCAAACTTCATTGCAAAGGAAATGAAATTATTAAAAGACCATTGCTCTGTAATTCAGGAAATTGAATCAGCTTGTTTGGAGCTATAAGCAGGGGAGGACTTGCGCTGCACTGAGCCGCATATTGTGAGACTGAACAGTGCCCGGCTCTGCAGTGACTTTGCGGGTCAGAGGAGGCATGAGCTGGCATGCATGCAGCTCCCAAATGCTTGCTTTTCTTGACTGCCTACAATAACAGCCCTCCATACAAGATAAGAGAATACCTGGCAGATGTTAGCATGTTGCTGATTTTTTTTTACTTTATTTAAATTTTTACTACTGTTCCTATAATATTTGTGCAACAAAATATGTCTTCTGAATAAATAAAAGATTCTCAGATCTCAAGCATTAAGAATTTCCATAGATAAATGCTAGTCATTGAGGTTGCATGCTGGGTATGAGAGGGTTCACTATACTGTTGTCTCTATTATTAGTGTATGTTTAAAATTTTTCCACAATAAGTGGTTTATAATATTTTGATCATTCAGATCAATTTAATTCTCATTTTCTAAGTTTTTCCTCTACTGCGATGCCCAGAGAGCACAGACCTTCCTTGCCCCACCCACTAACTTAACACTGGTCCAATTTAGAAATGTTGGGCAGTGAATGACAGGGAAGGGGGTGAATTGTGTTGGTCTCAAGAACTCTGATCTGCTACTTGCTAGAATGATAGAGTCTGTGATGGCCATCACTCACATTTTAGGTTCTAGATCACTACTGTAACAGTCATGAATTGCTGCAGACCAGGCGAAAAATGACGCATCATTTGTTTTTCCTAAAGAAAAATAAATGTACCTCCAAGCCCTCATTACCAGGATTTTCAAGAAGTCCAATCTCAGTGATTACAGGCCGCCCTTTTTAAAAAATTTTACCCAAAACTTATAAATAAGGCAACAAGATTGCTACTCACCTCTTCAGTGTTAAACTAGAGCATTGTCTCCAAGCCCTTCTAAGGACGGTCTGTGTTCCAGGCCCCAGGCCGGTCCAGTACAGCAGCCACATGTAGCTCCTGAGCACCTGAATTGTGGCCAGTGCTGCTGAAGAATTGAAGTGAGATATGATGATTTTGAAGACATACAACGAAAAATAAATCTCAGTAACTTTATACTGATGTATGCTGAAAGGATACTATTACTGATACACTGGTTTAAATAAAATATTTTATGAAAATTAATTTTACCTATTTTCTTAACTTTTTTAATGTGATTACTGGAAAATTTTAAATTACATATGTGGCCCACATTGTGTTTCTATTGGACAGTGCTCTCCAGAGTTTACAGAAGGTAACTTTGTTTGACTAACTGTTTACTCCTGATTAAGGCTCATCTTAAAGTTAGCTGTTAGCCTGTAGATAAGTAGTAAGGTACAGAAGATTTCTGTTTATAGCTAAAAGATAACCCCAAAAGTTTTGATTTTACGACCCCTATAAGACATTTCCCTGGTAGATTGCATTCCTCAACATTTTATTCTCCTCAACGGTTTGACTAGCCTTACCTCAGATGGTTGTGCCAGGCAGAATCATTGTCATAAGTGAAAAATGAGGTTACTTTTGTCTCTGGAAATTCTCAAGCTATTCTTGTACTCAGAAGGACTACCAGTGATTGCTCAAATGATACAATGGATGTATATTTAAGTGTTACCCTGTGAGCTGTCCTATGCATAGGTTTAGAGTTATGCTTCATTGAATTGTCTTGCCTTACTTCCCTAAAAGGACGGTGAAAAGGAAGTGAAAATACTGAATAATGCTGATACTGAATTACAGTTGTTCCCTTTCGCTTTATCTGCTCATCTGTTTGTGTAAATAAAGGCAGAGGAATTGTGATACGTTTTAAAATTCCAGACCTTGTCCCCAAAGAAAACTTTACAAAGGTCCCTCTTCCCCATGCTGGGCCCGCAAAAATGTCTTACCCTGCACCGTGGGACGTGTGCTGTTGCCCCGTCCATAAGGAAGGTTTGTTTATAAGCCCCTCCTAAAAGCGTTGCAGAAGCCATTTTGACAGCACAGAACCCCTGTTTTTAGCCTCAATGAACGCTTGCTTTGCTAACCCTTTTGAAATTGCATTTGAGATGAGGTAGCAAATTAGGAACCTGTTATATATTCCATCTGACTGTGTTTTGTTTGTTTACTTACATTCCCAGTGTGCTGCTGAGAATCTAAGACAAGACAGTAATAGAGGGAAGTGTGGAAGACCGGAGGTCTAAGCTCCAGATCTCTTAGCTACCAAAATAAATAAATACTGCAGAGCTATAGTCTCGGCAAAGGAGAGCCTCCAGACGGACAGTGTAGCTAAAGTCCCTTTTTCTCTTTTGCATCTGGAGATTTGGAAAATTGCTATAACCATGAATTATTAGGCATGTTTTATTTTATTAGGTTGGAATGAAATACAGAAACCTAATCCTGAAACCTGGGGGATCTCTGGACGGCATGGACATGCTCCAGAATTTCTTGAAACGTGAGCCAAACCAAAAAGCGTTCCTAATGAGCAGAGGCCTGCATGCCCCATAAACGTGGGATCTTTGGGAGCAGTCCATGTCTGGAGGACAAGTCGACATCACCATGTGTTACTGGCCTGGAAACTGAAGGGAGTTTTGCAAATGAAAATGTAGGTTTCCATTGACTTCCTTTTGCTTTTTGATTTGAAAAATTATACAGATGTAAATGGAATTATAAATACTGTGAGCTAAGAAAAGACCCATTAGAAAATAATTGTAACTATAAAATTTCATAAAAATGGATTTGATTTCTTTTTATAAAAGTTTCATATGAAGGTAATTTGATTTTTTTACTATTGTAATCTAGATAATATAATGTAAGAGGGCTAAGAATTTTTTAATTGAATCATGTACATTATATAATTTGATCCTTCTTATATCTTGAAGTTTTGTACTTGGGATTTCTGAACTGATAAATGAATCATCACTTTCCTCGATAAATATTTTCTTGGAGCCCTGCATCCACTTTGCCACTATCTCCCAGTAAAGTGTGACCTCTTTGCCCACACACCTCAGGGCCAGGGGACTATGTTTCAGTAATGCATTTATCTTTGTATTTCAGGCCTCACGATCCCCAACTTTCTGCCACACTTAAATGATGTTCTTCCAATTGGTTTTGTCTTTTCTGTCTGACTTCCAGTCAGACAGTACCAAAAAATTATGAGTTTTAGCTGAAACGGTCGAATGGATATTGCAAGTTTTTACATCTTGTATTAGAGAATTTTGCTTCTCGGATTGGAGGTTCATTTCCACTTCAGCATACAAGATTGTCAGTCTTTCCGCATATTTGCCAATTAGAACACGAAAGCAAGTCCAAGGATGTTTTTCTCTTCTCATGTTTCTAATAAGTGGTAGGGACTTCGCCTCCTCTGCTGCCCCCCTCACCCCGCGTGGCAGGTAGATACGTCACAAGTGAAGAGAGCTGCAGCAGACCCTGGGCGTGAAGAATGCGGAAAGCCCAGGAGAGGGGTGGGTTCTGCACAGACATGTGGGAGGACAGCTGCTCCAAAGTGTCAGGCGTGCTCACACTCAGCCCTGGGGAGAGGCTCGGCCGCAGCCTACCTTGTCTGGTGATTTTACGTGAACCTTCGGAGCTCTTTAACTGTTTACTGTGGGCCTAAACTCCAGTTCTGCAGCAGCCCAGGAAACTCGCTGTACTTATTTTCTCTCTAGGAGTCTACTCAGTGAGGAAACCAAACTAGGATAATCAAAAAAAAATTTTTTTTAATTAAAAAACTAACTTTGAGCGTATGCATTCTGCATAGGACTTCCAGTTGTTCCCCCGTGTGTACCTGAGGTTTGACTTTGCTGGCCAGGGACAAAATGAGAACCTTTTCCCTCTCCAGGACAAAGTGGACTTTGTGCTAACTAAAAAAAATATCATGCTGCGGAGCAGAAGTGTCAACAGCAGGAAAAACCAAGAGCTATAGCGATGCAGAAGAAAATTCAAAGATTATTATTGCCAAGCAAATACCTTATTAAACATCACAGAAAATCCCCCCACCCACCCATCCCCAAGACAGTTGCCTGGCCCTCTCTCCCCCACACTCATCAGCATCACCACCTCGGGTCCCTAAAACTGTTTTTTTTTGGTCTTAGCAACTAATGGTACTTTCCTCTTTTTTTTTTTCCCAGAATGTTCTGTTTTCTAGTTTCAGACAAAAACTCTCTTCAGCTTTTTCTACTGCCCGGTGCATCTCGTTAACAATAACTTTCTCATTTTAAATCTTAACTTATTTCACATGGGAAAACTAATACTTGATGTGAATAAGACTGCACACAATAAAGTTACATTACTGTCACAAGGATGAATTCACATTTCTTTCATACTTCAGTGTTAAAACTGAAATGCATAACAGAACAGAAGTGCTGTGGTGGTCTTTGTATTTAGGATCCACATCCCATATTTAAAATCTGCCAAAGAAGAGCAACAATATCAAGAGGTCATCAAGAAAACATTCCCTACCGTAATTCAAAACTAAGGACCTATTTTTTAAAGCCTTTTTGGATGGGCCGTTCATCTGCTTGTTCCTTTTTTCTAGATCAGAGCATAGAGTGTTGGTGGCTGTTCTGAATGGTGTAAATAACTGTAAAAAAATTGTAATTGACCAACCTACACTTTAGATTTATGAACTAAGATGCATATAGTAAAGTCTCTCTTGGTTATCGATCCAGGAGATTTGGGCCTGTTTCTGGTTTTCCAGCAGTTGTTAATGTCACTGAGGGCAAGTTCTTAAACATCTTAGGTGAAAATGTAGTAGGCCTGATTCCTAAAGGTTTAATTTTAAGATGCCACAGAGAAGAGAAAGAGAAGTCCTAATGTGATGCCGTCTAATACAGATTTTTTTTTCTCCTCTAGTATAAGTGTTGCATGTTACCTAGATAGAGAACTAAAAATTATATTGAAGAATTATCACCCAAGCTATTTACATCAAAATGCTGCCTTTTTGAACTTCTGCGGTGACAGGTAGGTATCTGCAGCTCTTTGGACTTGACAAACTGCTTTGTGTAAGAAACCAAAATCAAGAAAATAGCTCTTAAAAAAAAAATGATAGGATTTTGTACTTGCACTTTGTATTTACCTTAATTAGTAGGGAATGACTTAACTTTCTACTTTGCCGCTTTGCCTTTGGCCTTTGTGTATGAATGAGGGTGTACAGCGATCCTGCCTGCTCCCCACCAGTGAGCCTGCTAGCATTTTTCATTTTTTTCCTTTTCTATCATGCACAAGAAGTATTTTTCATGCTTGGAGAAAATTGCATTAAAATACTAATCCCCCAAATTGGGTTTAGGTAGAGTTAGCTGAGCCCCAAAGAGTGTTAAAAGAGAAACCTTATCCCCTCTGACTAGATGCAACGACCAAAGCTTTGTTCTTTCCCCAACACAGCACTGTTACACAGTTATGTATCTCTTCTGAAATTGGATAGCCCCTCGAAACTGAATGTACCTTCTCTTATGACTGTTTGGTGAGAATAAAAGCAAAATAAGATAAACATGCTTTCATTTTCTTTTTTTCTTTTTTTTTTTTTTTGTGGGAGGAGGTAATTAGGTTTACTTATTTCTTTCTTTCTTAATGGAGGTACTGGGGATTGAACCCAGGACCTCATACATGCTAAGCATACATTCTACCACTGAGCTATACCCTCCCCTCTCATTTTCTTTAAAACACAGTCAATATCCAAAGTTTTTTTTTTTTCAGTTTATTTTTAATGGAGATTTCCACTGGAAACAAATCTGCCTAAATAATTATCTAGTACCAACTGTATCAAGACAAAGGGTGAAGGTTAGAAAATCTAAATACTAGATTAATGTAGCCTTTTTCAACATACCCACAATAAAGTTGTATAAATGGATACTTCATAAAAATTTTTTTGAAAAATTGGGGTAATAAACACAACCCTTTAAACACCCCTCTCCAGTGAATGATTCTTGAGTTTTATTTCACTGAATTTACCTTGTAGTTTCCTTTCCTCATAAAACATAGGTCCAGTGAACCATTGATCTGGTTCACTATAGGTGAATATGACCCAAGCTCTCTTATTTCTGCTCCTGTGAGCTGACACCCATTCTAGCTGCTTATTTCATAGAGCTTGGAAGCTCATGTAAAATTTTACTGCCATGATAAAATGTCAGTAGCATTTGTCATCAGAGAAACTGTATGGCTTAGAAAGGTTTAAAAGTACAGTGTTCACTGAGTCCAACAAGGCACTTGACAGCCCTATTGACATCTTTAAGGCTAAGGTGGAGGCTATGATGGGAAAATCGTTAGCCAGGTGGATTCCTAGCTATTGAAACTCCTAAGCAAGTTGAATAATGATTCACATTAAACGAGGAAATTTCCAGTCCTTTGGATGAAAACATGAAGAATTCTATGGAAGGTATTATCAAATTTGCATGTAACAGAGCTGGAATGTTTAAATATGATGACATTATTAAGATTTAAAACTACTTCAGTGCTGAGACCAATTTAAGATGAAATTGGACCCATTCCGTTGCAAAGGTAAAAGGAATGGAAACCTGCCTTCATAGTGGTATCTTCAGGAAAAAAAAACCTAGCATTTTTATTTGACCAAATTCCAATATAAACCCATAGTACAGCACACCTGGCAAAGGGACAGGAGGAGAGAACTGAAGCCTTGTAAGAGTGTTGATGGAAGGACGTGTCCAGATCAAAAGAATAGTCCCGCTGGACTCTGATGCATTGTGATTAATCACAGCTAGAATATTGTGTTCTAATCCAGGTGTCACAGACTTTGGCCAAGTATTACAGCGTTTGAAAGAGTAGGAACAGGAGGGTGATGACTTTGAAAATACTTCTCAAGAGGAATACATAAAAGAATTAAGAAAGTTCTTTCTGGAGATGAATTCAGACATCCAAATGGCAGCTATTTTCAAATACTTGGAGGCTGTGAAAGAGAGGGTAGGGTTATTCTTCATTGCTTCAGAAGCCAAAGCTTTAGAGAAATGGTTGGAAAATATGAGGGCTTAGCTCAGTATGAGGAAGCAGTTTCTAATAATTATTGTTAATCACAAATACATCCTGCTGCTGTTAGTGTTCAAACAAAGCCTGTGGCTGCCAGGAGTGTTTAAGAAGGAATTCCTCTTTTGAGTAGATGTTCATACCAAATCAGCTTTGAGGTCTCCTCCAAAGTTTAAGATGCAGCAAATACATAATATCAGAAAGACATCACTCAGGGAGGAGGTTATAGCTCAGTGGTAGTGTGCCTGCTTGGCATGCACGGGGTCCTGGGTTCAATCCCCAGTACCTCCATTAAATAAATAAATAGATAAGTAAACCTAATTACCCTCCCCCACACACAAAAAAAGAAAAATACATCACTCAGATGAAAGAAATGTTTACAATGCTGGCTCTTAGAAATGGCATTTAGTGCTCGCTTCGGCAGCACATATACTAAAAATTGGAATG